TGCTTGCCGGGTCGAGCTAGGTTCCTAGCCTCACCTTCCAATCATTCTTAGATTAATACAATGACTCATTTCTCACCCTTCTATCATATCTAGATTTATAATTTTGAATTAAATTAGCTGCAAGGACTTCTACGTCTAATCTATTCCATTCATTTACAGTTCTAATACTCAAAGTTTTTATTGATGTCTCTGACTCATTTGCATCTTTAGTTCCATCTAAAACCTCTTTTTCTGTTTCTAGTTTTGAACAACGCTACTTTGGCAATTTCTCTTACTCTTATATGTTATCATATTCCCTACTGTTTCATTTCCTCTACTGTGGTAAGGACCAGTTCTTTGTCTCTCCTTCAGTAACTTGGATAAAGGGACTTTTCAGGCCTATATAAGCGAAGTTGGGACCCACACTTCAGTATGCATCCCCAGCATGAAACCCTTCGACTGAAAAAGGAAATAGAAAACCTAGAAAAGGTCCATATATAAGCAACGATGTTCGGTCCTAACCCTAATTAACTGAGCTTGAAGGATACACGGACGTTGGCCAGTATGCCATATGCAGCTGTGGTTTTTCTACAAATGTGGACTTCTGGGACCTGATTTGGAGGTTATCCCCACTCCCTGGTCTTTGTTCTTGTCTGATTGAAGAATATCTTCCCTCTATCCTATACTGCTGCACTAGTCTTGGCACTCCTGTTCCTATCCTCATAACTATTTGCATTTGGGGGGGTTAAATTCTAGCAACCATTTATCAAACCACTTGGAATGTGTCCAAATTCTTTTGCAATGCCTCACAATCTATCCCTGACCTGATTCTTCTCACTACTTTTGCATCATCTGCAAACATAAATATGAAGGAGCCAATTTCCTTTTATCAGGTCATTTGACATTAGCAACGGTATGGGCCATCGAACCGACCCTTGTGGTACTCCACTCGAAACCTCTCTTCATGCTGATGTGTCTTCCCTCTCTCTAACCCTTTGCTTCCTTCTTGAGAGATACTCTCTAACCTACCTTAGGACTCTTCAAGATACACCAGCCTGCTTCTCTAGTTTGAGTACTCTCAAAGTCTTTCATGCAGGACCGTTTCACATGCCTTCTGACAGTCGAGGAATATGCAGTCTGTCCATCCCTCTCTTTTGTTTCATTTTTGTCATCTTTTTGTAGAACTAGCAAGTTTGTCGAGCAGGATTTTTCTTTAATATAACCATGCTTGTGCCTTGAGACAAAATTGGTTTGTTGTAAGGGTTCTTCTAACCTGCTTCGGATCAGTGTCTCTAGCAACTTGCAGGGGATACTTGTTAATGATACGGGTCAGAACCTTAACTGCATGTTCTCACCTTATGCCTTCCGGATTGAGCTCTTAACTCCTGGAACCCGCTTTTCTATCCGCTGGTTGACTGTTGCATTGACTCCTGATCTATTTCCATATCATACCTGCTTTTAAAGTCGTGATTTGAATTTGCCTCTACAACCTGCTCCTGTAGGTCATTCCACTTGCAACACTTACGGTAAAAGAAACGTTCCAACAACTCTGACACATCAGAGTATGAAGTTTCCTTCCGTGCCCCCTTGTTCTATTAGTATTCATTTTAAACATTTCCTCATAGTCATAGAATTCTGTCTAATTCACCTGAGAGCCCTAGCTCTTATTCCATTGTGAACATTTCCTCTTTTTTACACACTGTCAATCCCCATAAAATTTTTATGCGTCTCTATTATGTCTTTCCCTCCCCCCCCTCTCTCTCATCTTTTCTAGCATCGTTAGGCTAGAAAATTTGTATGAGCATATAAATAGAAAATTACGTTTGTATGAGCCCCCAAAGTTACGTGTGTGTCATGTCCACTCTCAGATTTTGTTTTGTTATATAGAAAGGCAGTTTCCGTTTACTGTCGTTTTGGTGTCCTTTTACCTGCTACCATTTCCTTGCATTTGCTGGTGTTGAAATCTAGTAACAATTTCTCGAACCAGCTCTGCAGCTTGTTTAGTTCATCTTGGAGACTTACAATCTTCATCTGTCTCAACTATTGTCATTATTATTGCATAATCTACAAACACTGACTTATGGGACTCAACTGCTGTAGATAGGTCATTTACACAAGTGAGAAATAGTGTGAACCGCAGCACACATCCTTGAGGTACTCCACTCGTTACTGCTCATCAGTCCTACTTCTTGCCCTGGCTCCTGTCTTTTAGGTAATTCCTCATCCATATCCGTGCTCTTCCACTTACTCCTGCCTGCCTCTCGAAGTTATGTAGTAATCTCCTGTGAGGAGATTACTTGAGGGACTATGTCAAAGGGTTTTTGGCAGTCAAGACATTCTCAATCTAGCCAACCTTCTTTGTCCTGGTCCAGTAGCTTTAGTTTCGTCCAGTGATGCTATTTGTTTCTTACTTCCCGGTGTTGCCTCAATATACAAGTCTCTCATCTTGGGTTACCTTTTCTAGAACTGGAAGCTGTTCAGTCTCAGTTGTGAAGCTGGCATTAAGTTCCTTACAAATTTCTTTATCATGTCCTGTATATCTCCACTTTTTCGTTCACTGTCATAATCTTTCGTATGAGTATTTAGGAGTTTTTGTTTTTTCTTAGCTTTAAAAAAATATAATTTTGTTTCTTTCAGATATTCTTATATTTATATATATTCTATTCTGGTCCTGTGCATCTATTCCGGTTTTCTTCCACTCCCTCTTGCTTTTCATTTTTGCTTCTGTGCATCATTTGCTGAAACATGGTAACTAGAGTCCTTCCTACTCTTGTCCCTTGTCCACATGAAACTCTTCAGTCTGCATATCAACTTTATTTGATTCATTATTTCTTGGACTGCCTTATCTCTGTATAAACCTCAACCTTGGACCTCTGTATAAACATCAGAGGTCCGCGGTTGTTCAACGTCCTCCCAGCAAGCATAAGAAATATTGCCGGAACAACCGTGGACATCTTCAAGAGGAAACTAGATTTATTCCTCCAAGGAGTGCCGGACCAACCGGGCTGTGGTGGGTATGTGGGCCTGCGGGCCGCCCCAAGCAACAGCCTAGTGGACCAAACTCTCACAAGTCAAGCCTGGCCTCGGGCCGGGCTTGGGGAGTAGAAGAACTCCCAGAACCCCATCAACCAGGTATCAACCAGGTATCTCTAAATTCTTCCTTTGTACATTTTCCAGATGCTCTCTTACTCTTCCTATAATCACCTTTTGCTATAGTTTCCTTTCCCAAACCCCTTGTCTCATGGGCTTAGTTTTAAGTTCGATCAAATATAGTCAAATGCCAGGAAACACTTGTGGGAACCGACCTGTGAGATTTATATTTATTTAATTTATATGAATTTATATTTACGTTAATTTATATACTTCGATAGCAATTTGTATAATAATAAGTGGACTGTATTTCTGCAATAATCTCATAATCTCACAAATCGATCCTCTACACATTAGGGGGGTTTATATTAATTTATATACATGCAGCCAATCAAACTACAGTAATAGACTACATACATTGAAGAGGTTCCTTATCTTATAGTACAGCTGACCTTAATTCACCAGGTATAACCAGGATGTAGACACCACATTTTCCCTCTTTGAGGTAGCTTCCATCACCCTGGTAACTGATGCACAAAGCATGCTTCCTCGTCTTGACCTGTCAAAAGGGCGCTAGCTGTAAAGCCAGATTCCTATATATGACAAGCTATATCAGAGAAAACACTGTACATGGAACCTTAAAGACCTGGCTTAATTACCTTTAGTATGAGGCGATCTGGCGCTCTAACCGGGTCACCCTATCCAATGACATTAATGGCCACTAATGATAGATAAATGGGTTTCGGTTGAACACTTAACTTGAATTTGTTGACAGCGTGTGATAATGGTACACCTTTGGTTTCCATAACACTTCGTCCAAGTAAAATTAACAGGAGCCGTATTTGCTCCCGTGAGCCTCTGTGGTCTTAGTATCAACAATGGCAGCCCCTCCTTCCTCACTCCTGACGCCTGGCTTACATTGTCCAGATGACAGAAAGTGATAGAAGGGTCACATTTACTCTACTTTAATATTGATAATTAAGTTAATTTATATGAGATGTTTTTATGATGGTAAAGTCCAAAGACTAATGTATTTAAGAATAATTCCCAGCAGAATAGCTGGTGAATTTATAATAGTATGTGGTGATGATATCCCGTTTTCTATAGACGGTAATTCCACTACAAGTTACGTTTTCTATGGGTAACTTGTTTATACAATACAGCAATTATTATCTGTCTGTATGTTATATTAAATGGTGTCGGATTTTCCGACAACACTGATCAGTACTGCCTAGTGATATTTCGTGTTCCAAGTTCTCGATTTATTTCTCATTGTGGGTGATGATCAAGTCCAGTAGACTTGGTGTATCTCCTGTTTATGTTGTCATCCTTTACATGATGTGTTAACAACTTACTTTCCATAACTTCCAGTAATTTGGCGCCCCTCGTTTCTTCCTAGCCATTGAGACTCCTCAATTCCCAGTTAATTACTATGTGACTTAGATTCCCCGCGACTAGCGGCTTGGCTCCTAATCTGTGTGTTGCTCTCCAGTTCACCTGTGCATGCTTTGTTGTTATCGTATTCCTGTGTGGGTAGTCTGTTGTTTGCTGAGGAAGGGGGGGGGGGAGGGATCAGTGTGTGCGTGTGGATAGAGGATACCTGATCAACCAGGCTGTGATTCATGCGTCAGGCTGCGAGCAGCCGCATCCAACAGCCTGGTTGACTAGTCCATCAACCAGGAGGCCTGGCCGAGGACCGGGCCTCGGGGACGCTAAGCCCCGAAGTCGTCGCAAGATAAGGTGTGCGTAGAGAAGGACCTAAGAAGGGGGTGTAGCGACAAGCACCACACCTAACAACCAACGAATGGTGCCAAGAAGCACACTTTGCTCCTCCACTTTTGGCTACAAATGTCTCTCAACATGACAAGGTCTCATGTTTTTATAAGCCCTTGCCAAGTGCTTCAGGTCGTGTCTTTGTTTGAGCTGGGCAATTAGTTGTCCCGAGTGCGTTTGTCTTGTTCTTGAGCGATGTTGACATGGACACTGCAATTTAACAACGGCTCTGTAATATCACAATAAAAACACAGCATTTCCAAGCTTAATGAACGCCAGAGGTAAACACATTAACTACAGCTCCTCGTTAGTCTCTCGTCCACCTCACTCTACAAATATCTTAATACAATTTCAACGTGCAGTTTAATTCCATAATAAAATATCGTTATGTGTATCATATATATATTCTATTATGATTATTATTAGTACTCGTTGTAGTCGTATTTATATAATAATTATGCAATTGGTGTTATTTTATACCTAGTTGTGTTTTTAATGCAAGTTTAGTCTGACCTTTGACCTGGCCATTTATATGGTTCTTCTCCTGACCATTTATATGGTTCTTCTCCTGGCCATTTATATGGTTCTTCTCCTGGCCATTCATATGGTTCTTCGCCTGACCATTTATATGGTTCTTTGCCTGACCATTTATATGGTTCTTTGCCTGACCATTTATTTGGTTCTTCTCCTGACCATTTATATGGTTCTTCTGACCATTTATATGGTTCTTCTCCTGACCATTTATATGGTTCTTCTCCTGGACATTTATATGGTTCTTCTCCTGGCCATTTATATGGTTCTTCGCCTGACCATTTATATGGTTCTTCGCCTGACCATTTATATGGTTCTTTGCCTGACCGTTTATTTGGTTCTTCGCCTGACCATTCATATGGCTCTTCGCCTGACCATTTATATGGTTCTTCTGACCATTTATATGGTTCTTCTGATCATTTAAATGGTTCCTCTGACCATTTATATGGTTCTTCTCCTGACCATTCATATGGTTCTCCTGACCATTTATATGGTTCTTCTCCTGATCATTTATATGGTTCCTCTGACCATTTATATGGTTCTCCTGACCATTTATATGGTATCTTCAAACCATATTCACCTACAGATAGTATTAACATTAGTCTTAAGAATGAAAGTAAGTTCCTTGACCTATACATAGACAAGAGACTAAACTTCAGCACCCACTTAAAAACACAGCCAGAAAAGTCTCAACAAATGCAGTCGTAATCTCTAAAATCAGATACTGTGTTCCTCACTCTGCTCTCCTCTCATTATACTACTCGCTAAACTATCCCTGACTGAGGTCTGACAGCTGAGTAGACAGCGCTTCAGATTCATAGTCCTGAGGTTCCGGGTTCGATCCCCGGCGGAGGCGGAAACAAATGGGCAGAGTTTCTTTCACCTCGTGATGCCCCTGTTACCTAGCAGTAAATAGGCACCTGGGAGTTAGACAGCTGCTACGGGCTGCTTCCTGGGGATGATTAACAAAAAGGTCTGGTCGTGGACCGGGCCGCGGGGACACTAAGCCCCGAAATCATCACAAGATAACCTCAAGATAGATCCCTATCTTTCATCCGGCATCTGTGCATGGGGTTCATCCACTGCAAATTACCTTAACTCCATCATCACAAAGGGAAAACTCTATCAGAACAAAAACAAACTGTTTTCAGACAACTACTTTTACGTGTGAAGTTAAGGAAGGACCTGTCCGTAACACTATGCGTGTTAGTGACTTTCGTGTTAGTGAAGAATGTGAGAACGTCTGTGTTATGGACTCTCGCAACCCATTGTACCTTCTTGTATATAACTAAATAAATATAGATAATAAATAAATGGTTCTTCACATGCCCTATCACCTGACCTTTCATCTAACCCTTCACCTGGCCCTTCAGATGACCCTTCACCTGGCCCTTTAGATGAACCCTTCACCTGGCCCTTTAGATGACCCTTCACCTGGCCCTTTAGATGACCCTTCACCTGGCCCTTTAGCTGACCCTTCACCTGGCCCTTTAGCTGGCCCTTCACCTGGCCCTTTAGCTGGCCCTTCACCTGGCCCTTTAGATGACCCTTCACCTGGCCCTTTAGATGACCCTTCACCTGGCCCTTTAGCTGACCCTTCACCTGGCCCTTTAGCTGGCCCTTCACCTGGCCCTTTAGCTGACCCTTCACCTGGCCCTTTAGATGACCCTTCACCTGGCCCTTTAGATGACCCTTCACCTGGCCCTTTAGATGACCCTTCACCTGGCCCTTTAGCTGACCCTTCACCTGGCCCTTTAGCTGGCCCTTCACCTGGCCCTTCAGATGACCCTTCACCTGGCCCTTTAGATGACCCTTCACCTGGCCCTTTAGCTGGCCCTTCACCTGGCCCTTTAGCTGGCCCTTCACCTGGCCCTTTAGCTGGCCCTTCACCTGGCCCTTTAGCTGGCCCTTCACCTGGCCCTTTAGCTGGCCCTTCACCTGGCCCTTTAGCTGGCCCTTCACCTGGCCCTTTAGCTGGCCCTTCACCTGGCCCTTTAGCTGGCCCTTCACCTGGCCCTTTAGATGACCCTTCACCTGGCCCTTTAGCTGGCCCTTCACCTGGCCCTTTAGATGACCCTTCACCTGGCCCTTTAGCTGGCCCTTCACCTGGCCCTTTAGATGACCCTTTACTTGGCCCTTTAGCTGACCCTTTACCTGGCCCTTTAGCTGACCCTTCACCTGGCCCTTTAACTGACCCTTCACCTGGCCCTTAAGATGACCCTTTACCTGGCCCTTTAGCTGACCCTTTACCTGGCCCTTTAGCTGACCCTTCACCTGGCCCTTCACCTGGCCCTTTAGATGACCTTTACCTGGCCCTTTAGCTGGCCCTTCACCTGGCCCTTTAGCTGGCCCTTCACCTGGCCCTTTAGATGACCCTTTACCTGGCCCTTTAGATGACCCTTTACCTGGCCCTTTAGCTGACCCTTCACCTGGCCCTTTAGCTGACCCTTCACCTGGCCCTTTAGCTGACCCTTCATCTGGCCCTTTAGCTGACCCTTCACCTGGCCCTTTAGCTGACCCTTCACCTGGCCCTTCACCTGGCCCTTCACCTGGCCCTTCACCTGGCCCTTCACCTGGCCCTTTAGATGACCCTTCACCTGGCCCTTTAGCTGGCCCTTCACCTGGCCCTTTAGATGACCCTTTACCTGGCCCTTTAGATGACCCTTTACCTGGCCCTTTAGCTGACTCTTCACCTGGCCCTTTAGCTGACCCTTCACCTGGCCCTTTAGCTGACCCTTCACCTGGCCCTTTAGCTGACCCTTCACCTGGCCCTTTAGCTGACCCTTCACCTGGCCCTTTAGCTGACCCTTCACCTGGCCCTTTAGCTGACCCTTCACCTGGCCCTTTAGCTGACCCTTCACCTGGCCCTTTAGCTGACCCTTCACCTGGCCCTTTAGCTGACCCTTCACCTGGCCCTTTAGCTGACCCTTCACCTGGCCCTTCACCTGGCCCTTCACCTGGCCCTTCACCTGGCCCTTTAGCTGGCCCTTCACCTGGCCCTTTAGCTGGCCCTTCACCTGGCCCTTTAGCTGGCCCTTCACCTGGCCCTTTAGCTGGCCCTTCACCTGGCCCTTTAGCTGGCCCTTCACCTGGCCCTTCACCTGGCCCTTTAGCTGGCCCTTCACCTGGCCCTTTAGCTGGCCCTTCACCTGGCCCTTTAGCTGGCCCTTCACCTGGCCCTTTAGCTGGCCCTTCACCTGGCCCTTTAGCTGGCCCTTCACCTGGCCCTTTAGCTGGCCCTTCACCTGGCCCTTTAGATGACCCTTCACCTGGCCCTTTAGCTGGCCCTTCACCTGGCCCTTCAGATGACCCTTCACCTGGCCCTTTAGATGACCCTTCACCTGGCCCTTTAGCTGGCCCTTTAGCTGGCCCTTCACCTGGCCCTTTAGATGACCCTTCACCTGGCCCTTTAGCTGGCCCTTCACCTGGCCCTTTAGATGACCCTTCACCTGGCCCTTTAGATGACCCTTCACCTGGCCCTTTAGATGACCCTTCACCTGGCCCTTTAGATGACCCTTCACCTGGCCCTTTAGATGACCCTTCACCTGGCCCTTTAGCTGGCCCTTTACCTGGCCCTTTAGCTGGCCCTTCACCTGGCCCTTTAGCTGGCCCTTCACCTGGCCCTTTAGCTGACCCTTCACCTGGCCCTTTAGATGACCCTTCACCTGGCCCTTTAGATGACCCTTCACCTGGCCCTTTAGCTGGCCCTTCACCTGGCCCTTTAGCTGACCCTTCACCTGGCCCTTTAGATGACCCTTCATCTGGCCCTTCACCTGGCCCTTCACCTGGCCCTTTAGCTGGCCCTTCACCTGGCCCTTTAGATGACCCTTCACCTGGCCCTTTAGCTGGCCCTTTAGCTGGCCCTTTAGATGACCCTTCACCTGGCCCTTCATCTGGCCCTTCACCTGGCCCTTCACCTGGCCCTTTAGCTGGCCCTTCACCTGGCCCTTTAGCTGACCCTTCACCTGGCCCTTTAGATGACCCTTCACCTGGCCCTTTAGCTGACCCTTCACCTGGCCCTTTAGCTGACCCTTCACCTGGCCCTTTAGCTGACCCTTCACCTGGCCCTTTAGCTGACCCTTTACCTGGCCCTTTAGCTGACCCTTCACCTGGCCCTTTAGCTGACCCTTCACCTGGCCCTTTAGATGACCCTTTACCTGGCCCTTTAGCTGGCCCTTAGCTGACCCTTTAGCTGGCCCTTTAGCTGACCCTTTAGCTGGCCCTTTAGCTGACCCTTTAGCTGGCCCTTTAGCTGGCCCTTTAGCTGGCCCTTTAGCTGACCCTTCACCTGACCCTTTAGCTGACCCTTCACCTGACCCTTTAGCTGACCCTTCACCTGGCCCTTTAGCTGACCCTTCACCTGACCCTTTAGCTGACCCTTCACCTGGCCCTTTAGCTGACCCTTTAGCTGGCCCTTCACCTGGCCCTTTAGCTGACCCTTCACCTGGCCCTTTAGCTAGGGGGGCCCCTTCAGGTGAAGGGCCACACTTCACCTGACAGAGGGAACAAGAGGGTGGAGGGGGGGGGGGAACAAAATGGGGGTGTGGGGAGTGTGTCCAGGCAGTGGTGGGATGTTACTTCAAGTGTTCACAGGTGTATGCCGTGTGTGAGAGAGAGAGAGGGGGAGGGTGGGAGAGGGAGAGGGGGAGGGAGGGAGAGGGGGAGGGTGGGAGAGGGAGAGGGGGAGGGAGGGAGAGGGGGAGGGTGGGGAGAGGGAGAGGGGGAGGGTGGGAGAGGGAGAGGGTGGGAGAGGGAGGAGGGGGAGGGAGGGAGGGGGAGGGAGGGAGGGAGGTAAGGGGGGGGGGGAAGAGACGTGTCAGGTCAAAGGTTTCAGAGCTTATAGTGTACGAAAAATATTATGCAGAAGGCCTTCCCCCTCCCCTCCCACACTTTACCCTCCCCCTCCCACACTTTACCCTCTCCCTCCCACACTTTACCTTCCCCCTCCCACACTTTACCCTCCCCCTCCCACACTTTACCTTCCCCCTCCCACACTTTACCTTCCCCCTCCCACACTTTACCCTCCCCCTCCCACACTTTACCCTCCCCCTCCCACACTTTACCCTCCCCCTCCCACACTTTACCCTCCCCCCTCCCACACTTTACCTTCCCCCTCCCACACTTTACCCTCCCCCTCCCACACTTTACCCTCCCCCTCCCACACTTTACCTTCCCCCTCCCACACTTTACCCTCCCCCTCCCACACTTTACCCTCCCCCTCCCACACTTTACCCTTCCCCTCCCACACTTTACCCTTCCCCTCCCACACTTTACCCTTCCCCTCCCACACTTTACCCTCCCCCTCCCACACTTTACCCTCCCCCTCCCACACTTTACCTTCCCCCTCCCACACTTTACCCTTCCCCTCCCACACTTTACCCTCCCCCTCCCACACTTTACCCTCCCCCTCCCACACTTTACCTTCCCCCTCCCACACTTTACCTTCCCCCTCCCACACTTTACCTTCCCCCTCCCACACTTTACCTTCCCCCTCCCACACTTTACCTTCCCCCTCCCACACTTTACCTTCCCCCTCCCACACTTTACCTTCCCCCTCCCACACTTTACCTTCCCCCTCCCACACTTTACCCTTCCCCTCCCACACTTTACCCTTCCCCTCCCACACTTTACAGTTATATCGTACTAAGACTAGGGAAAGGATAGGTCCATTAAAAACTGAGACAGGTCAAATAACAGATAGTGATGAAGAGATGAGTAGTATTTTTAATAAATATTTTGTATCTGTATTTACTAAAGAGGAACTTAACAATATGCCTTCAGCCGAACAAGTCTATGTGGGTGGGGACGAGGACAGGTTGACGAGTTTAGCAGTTACCAGGGAGGATGTTCTTAAACAAATAGTAAAACTCAAACCAAACAAATCCCCAGGGCCGGATGAAGTGTTTGCTAGGGTGCTTAAAGAATGCAAAGAGGAGCTTTGTGACCCACTGTCAACCATATTTAATAAATCAATAGAGTCAGGCAGAGTGCCGGAGTTTTGGAAAGTTGCTAATGTGATACCAGTTTTTAAGAAAGGAGATAGATCACTTGCGTCTAACTATCGACCAATTAGCCTAACGTCTATTGTGGGAAAGTTACTCGAATCTATAATAGCAAATAAAATTCGTCTTCATCTTGAAAAACATAAATTAATAATTGAGTCGCAACATGGTTTTATAAATGGCCGTTCATGTTTAACAAATTTGTTATCTTTTTATTCTAGCATTGTTGAGGCAGTTGATAGTGGTAAGGATTGCGATGTTGTATACCTTGACTTTAGCAAAGCTTTTGATACAGTGCCACATGAAAGACTGATTAAAAAAATAGTCTCATGGTATTGGGGGTGCTATATTAAGCTGGATTAGGGCATGGCTATACCAAAGGAAACAGAGAGTTAGTATAAATGGAATCAAGTCAGAGTGGGAAAATGTTGTAAGTGGAGTGCCTCAAGGCTCTGTCCTGGGACCTCTGTTGTTTATAATATATATAAATGATTTAGATTCAGGTTTGAGTAGCAACATTTGCAAATTTGCCGATGATACGAAAATCGGTAGGGAAATTAATTCGGAGGAGGACTCACTATCACTTCAAGTTGATCTAGATAGGGTTTTGAAATGGTCAAAGGATTGGCAGATGCAGTTTAATGCTGATAAATGTAAAGTTCTGAGGTTAGGTAATGATGATAGAGTTACAAGATACGAGCTAGATGGTGTTGTGATTGCGAAGTCGGATTGCGAAAGGGATCTGGGAGTTATGATTAGTAAGAATTTAAAACAAAAGGATCAATGCATAAATGTTCGTAATAAGGCAAATCGGACACTTGGATTTATTAATCGCAGCGTTAGTAACAAGACACCTGGTGTGGTTCTCAAGCTATATCTTGCTCTAGTTAGGCCCCATTTAGATTATGCAGTTCAGTTTTGGTCGCCATATTATAGAATGGATATAAATTCACTTGAACGTGTCCAGCGTAGGATGACTAAGTTAATTCCCCAAATTAGAAATCTTTCATATGAAGAAAGATTAACAAAGCTTAAGTTGCATTCACTGGAAAGGCGAAGAGTTAGGGGTGACATGATAGAGGTTTACAAGTGGATGAATGGACATAACCGGGGGGATATTAATAGGGTATTAAAAGTATCAACACAGGACAGAACACGAAACAATGGATATAAATTGGATAAGTTTAGATTTAGGAAAGACTTGGGTAAATACTGGTTCAGTAACAGGGTTGTTGATTTGTGGAACCAATTGCCGCGTAACATTGTGGAGGTGGGGTCCCTCGATTGTTTCAAGCACGGGTTGGACAAGTATATGAGTGGGATTGGGTGGTTATAGAATAGGAGCTGCCTCGTATGGGCCAATAGGCCTTCTGCAGTTACCTTTGTTCTTATGTTCTTATGTTCTTACCCTTCCCCTCCCACACTTTACCTTCCCCCTCCCACACTTTACCCTTCCCCTCCCCATACTTTTCTCCTCCCCTCCCCATACTTTTCTCCTCCCCTCCCCATACTTTTCTCCTCCCCTCCCCATACTTTTCTCCTCCCCTCCCCATACTTTTCTCCTCCCCTCCCCATACTTTTCTCCTCCCCTCCCCATACTTTTCTCCTCCCCTCCCCATACTTTTCTCCTCCCCTCCCCATACTTTTCTCCTCCCCTCCCCATACTTTTCTCCTCCCCTCCCCATACTTTTCTCCTCCCCTCCCCATACTTTTCTCCTCCCCTCCCCATACTTTTCTCCTCCCCTCCCCATACTTTTCTCCTCCCCTCCCCATACTTTTCTCCTCCCCTCCCCATACTTTTCTCCTCCCCTCCCCACACTTTTCTCCTCCCCTCCCCACACTTTTCTCCTCCCCTCCCCATACTTTTCTCCTCCCCTCCCACACTTTACCAGGAGTGGGAGGGGAGTGTTGGCCGTGACACGGGGAGTGTTGGCCGTGACACGGGGAGTGTTGGCCGTGACACGGGGAGTGTTGGCCGTGACACGGGGAGTGTTGGCCGTGACACGGGGAGTGTTGGCCGTGACACGGGGAGTGTTGGCCGTGACACGGGGAGTGTTGGCCGTGACACGGGGAGTGTTGGCCGTGACACGGGGAGTGTTGGCCGTGACACGGGTAGTGTTGGCCGTGACACGGGGAGTGTTGGCCGTGACACGGGGAGTGTTGGCCGTGACACGGGGAGTGTTGGCCGTGACACGGGGAGTGTTGGCCGTGACACGGGGAGTGTTGTGTGTGTGTCGGGACACTTACCTTGTGGCTGACAACACATTGTACTCGTCCGCAGTATAAAGGACACATGATGCTTCTTCCACTATACATGCTTCACTGACAAACACGCGTCACAACACATACGACACAACACTCATGCGCATTCAGGCGCACACGCACGGATGGACGGACGCGCGCGCACACATACACGGGTTCGATTACCGGCTCCGGCAGAGACAAATGGGCTGTTTCTTCCACCCTGATGCCCCTGTTACCTAGCAGTAAATAGGTACCTGGGAGTTAGACAGCTGCTACGGGCTGCTTCCTGGGTGTGTGAAAAAGAGTTAGTAGTTAGTAGCAGTTGATTGACAGTTGAGAGGCGGGCCGAAAGAGCAAAGCTCAATCCCCGCAAGCACAACTACGTGAATACACACACACACACACACACACACACACACACACACACACACACACACACACACACAAAGGAAGAATCCGTGGTTTAATAAGGAATGTATGAAAGCAAAGGAGCAGAACAAAAGGGCATGGAGGAACTTCCGTAATAACAGAACACCAGAAAGTAGAGAGAGATACCAGAGAACCAGGAACGAGTATGTTAGTGTGAGAAGAGCAGCTGAGAAAAGGTTTGAAAATTATATAGCTAATACAGCCAAGACCGAACCCAAGCTACTACACAGTCACATCAGGAGGAAGACAACAGTGAAGGAACAGGTGATGAAACTTAGGGTGGGCGAGGACAGGTACACAGAGAATGACAAAGAGGTGTGTGAAGAACTCAACAAAAGGTTCCAGGAGGTCTTTACAATAGAACAGGGAGATGTCGCGGCGCTAGAAGAGGTGGCAGCAAACCAGGTGACCTTGGATAGGTTCGAAATTACAAGAGATGAGGTCAAGAAGCACCTATTGGAGCTGGATGTGAGAAAAGCTGTTGGGCCGGATGGAATCTCGCCATGGGTCTTGAAAGAGTGTGCAGGAGCACTTTGCCTACCACTCTCCATAGTGTATAGTAGGTCACTGGAAACGGGGGACCTACCAGAAATATGGAAGACTGCTAATGTAGTACCAATATACAAAAAGGGTGACAGACAAGAGGCACTGAACTACAGGCCAGTGTCCTTAACTTGTATACCATGCAAGGTGATGAAGATTGTGAGAAAACACCTAGTAACACATCTGGAGAGAAGAGACTTCGTGACAACCCATCAACATGGGTTCAGGGAGGGTAAATCTTGCCTTACAGGATTGATAGAATTCTACGATCAGGT